GCCGACTACTGGCTGAGTAAAAGATGTGATAAAGCCAGGTTTTCAAAAGCTCAAAAAGCCGCGAACAAACAGCCCAGTGACCAACTGTAATCACATTTTAAACGTCAGGACAATGTCCGTCAATGCTCTGTCTACATCGATCCAGGTTTTTGTTGCCAGGGGGTCGCATCTTGCACTGCAGTCACGATGATTTCTTGCACTTATGTCATCCAACAGTATGGCGGCAATGTGTTTGGCCATGACGTCCTGCATAGCACAGCTGAGTCGAAACAAAAAGTGCAGAAGTTGCCATTTGTATACTGTTTTGCATTTCGTAAGGCTGTGGTGCTGTTCTCCGGAATACCACTTTTCGTTTTAAACAAAATCATACGAACGTTGAACGTTTCTGATGACTCAATTCCTACTTAAACGCAACTACCTCAGCATTGGACATATCAAGGAATAACAAAACGACAATACCGTGGCAACCTTTCGATAAAACGGAACAAAATACAATAAGACCCTTCCCAAAAATAGGGGGCAAAATGGCCTTACGATCGACGCGCCTCTAAATGCATCAAGGGACGGCCAACTCAACCCGGCTGAGCCGTAATGCGACAGCACGCCGGACACTTTCAATTTCGGCGCGGTCAGTGCGTGCCGACCGCATCCAGCCGCCCACCTGGGACGTGACGTCATGCCGTCGCCGTGACGTCACGGCCCGTTCTCCGGCGTCAGCTGACCTCGGCGGCGGCGGCGGCGGCGGCGGCGGCGGCGCGGCGGGGCCACAAAGACGGGTGAGCCGGCGGCCGCGAAGGAGCGCCACGCGCAGCGGCCGGCCAGTGAGGGCGAGCGGGAGCGCGTGTGCGCCTGCGTGGGCAGCACTGCGATGCTGGCCGCGGCCGCGGCGCGCGTCACTCGTGCTCGGACATGCTGCCGCGCTGGAGCCTGCTGCTGCTGTGCGCCGCCGCCACCGTCGTGCGAGGTAAGAGCCGGGACGATGACCCGCCGGCCGACCACCTGGCCGACGGTCGGCCCTGCGCCGCGCCACCCGCCGGCCGACTCTCCCAGGCCCGGCGCCTCCGCCCCGCGCCGGCTGGGAGGAACGGCCGGCTGGCACGTCTCAGGGGACGTCCGGGCGATCGGAGGGGGCCCGGCGCTGAGAGGACACCGTGTGAGAACGGGTCCGAGAGGACGGCTATGCGAGGACGGCTTTCGTGGGGTCCCCGGCCGGCTCGCCGCGCCTCGGTCGCGGCTGCCCGGCTGTTCTTCCGCCGGCATCGCCGACAGCCGAGCCATCCCTCGGCCCATGCCAGAACCGGACGGCCGAGGCCGGACCGGACCATGAGTCAGACAGCGCAACACAAAGCCGCATCGCTGCATCTGCTCGGCAGGCTGCGGCCGGGCGTGCCCGGGCCGAGTCTTTGTATTATCGGTGTTTAGTGAGCTGCCGGCTCACGGCATGGCCCGAGGAGCCGGACCGAATGGGGCGAGGGTGGAGAGCGCCGCCGCTGCGGCGGCGGCGCGCCCCGCTCCCCGCCGGGCAGCCTGCTCCAGGCCAGGTCAGTCCGCACACGCGTGCGCTCGGCCCGCGCCTGTCAGCATGCGTCAGCTGCCGTCATGTCCCGCGCCATGGAGCGGAGTTATGCGGCCACATACACCTTGAGCCGAACAACACAGGCCGAGTTTGCACAATAGCGACTCCGCTCGGCGGCGTCCGTGGCCCTCCCGCTCATAGTTCGGATCACGTGGCGACCATACTTAAAGGCTGTTTGTGTGCTGCAACGTATACTTAGCGGCGTGTAGTCGTCTATGCGTGTCTTCATGCGTGTACGTGAACAATGAAGCAGTGCTCCTTTCAGTTGGACTTTCTTCCAGCAGCATGACAGCCTCAGGCATTGGCAACGTAGCTTTAAGGGTCCTGATTGCGTGGGATTGCCCTTCTCCGCGTCTTATCGTGCCCCCACCCGCCCTCCAACAAGGCTGGCCGCCGCGCGTTGCTCGTGGCATGCCTTTGCTTGAGGAAAACGCTTAGACTTAAGCCCCCGATGTTCGCCTGTGATCCGCGGACGGCCTCTGCTCGCGAAGTTCTGGAAAACGTGCTGATGACACACCGCTTTTGCAGGCAACCATTTTAAACGACTTTGTCCGCCACTACGAGCCGTTGCGGTATGACGCCGTGGCTCTGCAGCAGGAGCATCGGCGCGTCCGCCGTCAGGCCCGACCCCCGCCGGCACGTGCAGCTGCGGTTCCACGCCAGCGACAGGTCAGAGACCCGGCCTGCCTGCCGCAGCCGTCCGCCCTGCCACCGCCCACCTGCGGGAGGCAGGCCGCCCTGCCCAGCTTGTTCGGGCATGCGCCCGGACTGGCTAGCCCGGTGCGAAGGAGCATCCAATACATTACCTAACGCATTTTTCCATGATTTATATATTCCATGTAGCTATTTTAACTTTAGGTAACCCTAGCTACTGGCTTAGCACCTGTCACGAGCCCTCCCCTCCACCGTTTCGTAAACTATGGATGACCCCTTACCAGTTAGAGACAGCCAATTAGCCAACCGCTGGAGCGCAGTTCCTGTATGCGTGCACCTGCGAAATGTGTTCTCTAGAATGAAAAGCACATGAGTGAAATCCATTTACAAAGCGTAGCTGTCGAACATTACCGAAGCCCCGCACGTGCTCACTCTGAGGTTGTGTGCGCGTTGCGTGTAGGCTCGTCACTTTCAAAGCAAATAGGTCCACATCCGACTCTGACTGCATATCCAGGGCGCGATATATGGACTGGATAACAGTCCATATCAGGGGAGCCCGTGACGTGACTCATGTGGGGGCGTGCGCGCCGCCACGCGGCATCATCTTCGGGTACCACGCGCGCGGATGGCAAGACATCTGCTCTGTCCGCTGACCTGGCTCCTCTGCTCTGGTCGCTAGCCTGGCTCCTCTGCTCTGGCCGCTGACCTGGCTCCTCTGCTCTGGTCATTAGCCTGGCTCCTCTACTCTGGTCACTGACCTGGCTCCTCTGCTCTGGCCACTGACCTGGATCCTCTGCCCTGATCGCTAGCCTGGCTCCTCTGCTCTGGCCACTGACCTGGCCCCTCTGCTCTGTCCGCTGACCTGGCCCCTCTGCTCTGTCCGCTGATCTTGGCTCCTCTGCTCTATCCGCTGATCTGGCTCCTCTGCTCTGTCCGCTGATCTGGCTCCTCTGCTCTGTCCGCTGATCTGGCTCCTCTGCTCTGGCCGCGACCTGGCTCCTCTGCTCTGGCCCCACCACACGGGTCAACCCACGCACGACTCGGTCAGCCGAGCTCGCGCGTCTGCCGCCCATTGTGCAATGTGCAGGCCGTGTCCAGGTCAATGCCGTGGCGCCGACTGAGCGGCGCGAGGCCGGAAGTCTGTGGCAACCTTTTCACGGGCGGCCCGGGCCTCGGCCGAACAGAGACGGCGCTGGCAGTCTCCTCTGACATGACCAGACGCTGCGAGCAGTCGCCTCAAAGCCCTCCCCACCACCCACCACGCCCACCACACACAAAGTACACAAACACACACACGCACGCGCGCGCAGGGGAGGGAGCAGGTGGCCGATCTGACGGCAGGTGATTGGCCGCGCAGGCGACAAACAATCAACGGCCTCCCCGAATAAGGCGGCGCACAGCGCCCTGCTAGCTCCACTGTTGGCGGCCGCCTCGGCCGGGGCTGGCGCGAGACGGCCGTCAGCTGGTCCTCTGTCTCTCCTCCGCGTGTGATGGGCCAAGGGCGGCCGCGCTTCCGGCGCGCATTGGAAGCCGATCGCGAGCCGGCAAGCCCGGCGCGCGTCCCCGCGCCCACCCGCGGCCCCTTCCAGCCACGCGAAACGCTGTCAGGGCAGGGACAAAGGCACGGGCGCTGCCCCGCGCGTTCAGCCCGCCGACATTGCCGGCTCGTCTTTGTCGTCGGCTGCTCGCGTTTTGCCCTTCGCTGTTGATAGCCCGTTTCTTCTCGAGGTGATGAAGTATCGTGCGCGCTGTTAGGCGCACGGGTATCTGAATTGATTGCCGTTTGGATGAATGCAGTCTGCACTGGTTGAACATGGGCAGGGTGGCCCTGCTCGTGCGGGGTATTTTGCCCCCCCCCCGCCGCCGGCCCCTGGTCATGCAGCTGGCCGGCTCCGCTCCGGTGACGCACGCTTGCTCCCGTTCCGTCAAACAATGAGCCGTGAATGGGCGGCATGCTCTGGCGATCCTCCATGCCGTGACAACGGTTGTCGGCCCGGGCGCCGCCGCGGCGCCGGCCGCGTCCCGGCGGCGGTGCGCGCCAGTTCCGGGGCCATGGCCCGCCGCGCGGCTCGTCCCCACGCTGGTCTGACCCGGCGGCCGACCGCGTCACCCCTGTACCGTACGGGCGGCGGTCGGTCAGCCCCGTGGTCGGCCCCGGAGCGCCCGAAGAGCCGGCCCTGACGCAGTGTTAGCCGTCTGACCCCACACCGCCGCAGGTGGCGGGCGCTGGGGAGTCAATCGATTTACGGGTCGTTTAGTGCGGGGGGTGAGCGGCCGTTCTGTCATGCACGTCAGACACTATCGACAAACAAAGAAAGCGCGGTGCTGTGATCTGAATTGGTATTCCTGTAGCAGTTGAACTTTTTTACGTGGTCGCCGGCCGTACATTGGTTTGTTACACGCGGTGGAGGGGTAGTGACTATTGGCAACAGAAGAAGATCAATACCGGTTGGACGCCTGTACCGCCCCGTTTCGCTGCAATTTGGGCATACCGCCCGCAAACATGGGGGGGGGGGGAGATAGGATGGAGCTGGCAGGCGGCAAACCTCCCGACGCGACATGCGGTGTCTATTGTGTCAGCAGTACGGTCACAGAAACTGGCTGAACCGGTCGAAGCCTCGACATACTTATCGTCACTTGTTTAATTTATTCACTTTTCGAATGATTTGACAACTGAGGCCTCGCAGACCCACTAACGGCCTCTAAAACAGCATCATATCGTATAAGACCAGTTGCGCTTTGAAACTGCGCGGAGTATGGTATGGCATAATAGCCAGGTTGTAAGTGCATTGGAAATTAGGCAGTATTGATGGTGTTACTCCTCGCAGAAGAATCAGAGGTTTGCATTGTATAGTTATGATGTAAATATAACTAAACTTCATTCCCCGAAAATGCACTGAGCCTTCTACTATTGTTTTAATAAAACCATGTTTCCAGAACATCAGCCTATCTATATGTCCATTCTCTGGTTTTCTCCAAGGAAAAGGGCTATTACCACTGCCTTACCTATGTTAACAATGTTCTTGCAAATGCACTGAATACCTTAGGTATTATTGATATTTCGGCACATTCCTCTCTCGAAACGAATGTCAGTAGCCGTGAAATGGGTGAAACCAAAGGTCATTTGCTCCAGAGTAAGTGTATATCGGTATTTCCCTGGGGTAGCTGCTTTGGAAGTAAATGGCTTGATCAATTTCTCGTACGAACACACCATTTGAGCAAAGCAGTCGGCGGCACACTATGACCCAGATGACCATCATCATCGGTCACCCGTGGAAGTGTTGATAGCAGTTAGCGACCGAAAATAACGGCACTTACTTGTGTCCAACGTATGAGGAAAACCAGCTTGGATCTCGTTTTAAGTTATCATTAACTTGGAATAATAATTTTGCATCGACTGTCAAAGTCGCCTTGGAATGAAGTCGCTGTGACCAGGGTCTGAAGCTAACCTAACACCATTGCCACGACGCCATCTAACGACGTTGCCAAAAATTGAAGGCTTTAAAGTAACATCTCCTCAGGTGAAAATGTCACCGAAGCACATAAATTGTTAAGTGCATTTACGAGGAACATTATGCATATAGGTAGGGCAGTATGAATTACTTCATTTCTCATAGAAAAAAAACAGAACTATGGAGAGATAGATGTACTGATATTTCGGCTACACACCTTTATCGAAACGAGTATCTCTAGTTAAACTGACTGGTATGTATAAAGGCAACCGTAACTGTAACACCCGTCGGGCCAACATTCCCGCTGGCCGTATTTTTCCGTCTCGTTGACTCCTTTTTTATACCATTCCAGTCGGTCTAACAACTGATATTCGTGTCGGATTGACGATAACTTGAAGCGAGATCCAAGCTGATTTTCCTCATACGTCGGATGCAGCATGCGCGTTGTTTTCGCCTAACACACTCGGAGTCACCACTTGGAGTCACCGGCTTGGCGTTGCGTCACGTGCATCACATCGCGATCACCAAACCCGAACAGCCAGAGAAACTACCCGTTATCGGCCTCGTCCACTGATCCCGCTTCCCGCCAGCCAGGACACGCTCTGTCGGTTTCAGCCGGTGCATCCGTTGCCGCATCTCCGGAGTTGGGAGCAGAGCGAGCCTCGCGCCTGGTGCAGGCTGCGCCGGACTGGGCTGCCCCCGGCCCGGTGGCCGGCGTGCCAGGACATGAGCGGATCATGGACGGACCAGGGACAGGCGAGGGACGGACCAGGGATGGGCCGCCGTCCAGCCGGCCGCTAGCCATGACCTGACGGCTCGGCACAGTCTGCCCGCTCTCCCAGCGCGCCGGTCTGCAGTCACGCGGACAATGGACAACAATGCAGCGACAGCCGAGGGTCTGGGCAGACAAAGACGGTCATCCATATCCCCCACCCCCACCCCGCTGTCGGCAGTTACGAACGGAATGTCAGGAGTGATGAGCAGCACGGTGGAGGCGGGCTGTCTCATGGGTCTCACCAATGGACGACCGTCCCCCTCACCAGCGCGACCGGCCGTCGGCTCCGTCGCCCTCGGTCAGCCGGCGTCGGTTCTGGCCTTGCCCGTCTCGCTGGCGAAGAGTTAGTTAGGCCGCCGGGCCGGACCGCCGCCACCGCCGCCGCGGCGCCGCCGCGGCCGCCGCGGCGGCCGCCGCCGCCCCCGTGCCGGCACCGCTCGCCGCCCGCAGTTCAGGGCCGACCGGTGACGGCCGCCGGCGCCTGGCTCGCCGGCCGCCGGCCGCACTGGAAGCTCGCGCGAGGGGGGGGGGGGGGGCGCGCCTCGTCCATACAAACAGCCAGATGGAAAATGATCAGATCCGAGGCAGTGGTAACCGAACAAAGGTCGGAAGTGGGACTCATTGGGGACAAGAGTCAAAATGACAGACGGGGCTGGGGGAGAGGACCCCATAAGCAATCCATGTCAACAGGGAACAATCCAGCGCTGGTCTAGGGGCCAAATTCACAAGGAGAGAGCGCAGGCCTCTGTACATCATATTGCTGCCCAAATTCATCATGTGGAAAGAAG